CACACACACACACACACACACAGGTTTGTTTTTGTGAAAAGTGGGGACTCTCCATAGGCGTAATGGTTTTTATACTGTACAGACCGTATATTCTATTGCCCTACACCAACCCTACCCCTAAACCTACCCCTCACAGGAGACTTTCTGCTATTTCAGATTTTCAATACACTCCATTCTGTGTGATTTATAAGCGTTTTGAAAAGTGGGGACATGGGGTAATGTCCTGAAAAGTCACCTTCTCCTTGTAATACCTGTCATACCCTTGTCATTATACACATTTATGTCCCCATTTGTCACAAAAACACACACACTCTCACACACACACCCTCACACACACACACCCTCACTCACACTCACACACCCTCACTCACTCTCACACACCCTCACTGACTCTCACACACCCTCACTCACTCTCACACACACACACACACACACACACACACAGCCAGTGGCTTCAGACTGAACAAACACGCTCTCGTTCAAACGCCCTTCAGGAACAGCTTGCTCTAATAAAATCTGACATTATAATTCAGTTTTACAGGAGCAGGAACAGAAGGTGTATTATTATTTTACAACAATCACGTAAATGAACACCTCAGGAGAGGTTCAACGAGTTAGCAATAATAAAAACATCACAATAATCCACAAGCAATTCACATGACTGCAGTGGAAGAAGCCTCAAACCACTGCTTCCTGCTAAAATACGCATCCATAATCCATAATAACACTTCCTCCAGTGAAGAAGTGCATCTGCTGTTGTCTGTCACATCAAAATCCTGACACGTTTGTTAGTTTAGAGCTGTTTAAACGCTGCTTGATCTGTGCAGATTTCTCTCCTGATTCACACCAGAACACTTCTTCACCGGAGGAGGAATGAATGCAAGCCTCCCCAGCTTCATTTCTTCAATAAGTCCTGTCTACAGACGACATGGAATATATTTGTCTCTTCTGCTGCAAACACTACAGTGTGACAGAGAAAAATCTCCATAACTTAGATCCCAAGAGGACCTGATGGCCTGGAAAACAAAGCCAGACTCGTCTTCAGCGGGTTCCTGTAAACTCTCTGATGAGCTGTTCATGAATTACACAATGCTGCCAGCACTGCATTACAGTAAGACACATGATGATGAGCTCCGAGCATCACCTGAAGGAAGCGAAGCTTTAGTGAGCAACAGGAGTCATTAAACACATGCAATGAGACGACAGATCGTGCCACCCTGCTGAGACTACATCACAGAAATCCTTCTGGTTTCCACTACAAATACCATTACAAACCAGTAGTGCTGTCGCGATTCGCCGGTTTTATTCGACTATTCGATTTTTTTAAATCCTCGACTTCATTTTGCTTGAGTCGACTAACCGGTATTTTCACGTACGAGAATGCATAAAACACATTATTAGACTGTATCCCAAGGCTGCATGATATATTAAACCCATTTAAAAATCATGGTTAAGCATAATTGCGAATTCACTAACGCTACGATTTAATGAAATAGTTATATGCGATGCAGTTCTAATACAGTATATGCGCTTTAATTATGTGCATGAGTGTAGGATAAGTACAGTATGGAGCGTCTCAAACTGCATCTCTGCATGTGGTTGTGAGTTTGGGTTTATTATAACCTTCATCTGGGAACGCAACGTGCGCCATTTCATCAGATTTATAAGATAAATCATTTATAAATCCACGCAAACTCAGGAGAATACATCACGGTTTCAAAATAAAAACCCTCACTCACAGTTCACACGGTGTGATGTCCACATATTCGTTTAGTTACAGTGGCTACAGCATCTCTGTCCTAAAGAAATGGCCAGATATTAAAGATTAAGTGGACATTTGAATGAAATGGTGCTTGGTCAGTATTAAACAAGGATTAGATCGCACAGTAATGTGTAAAAACAATCATCAGGCCGCTGGCGCCCCCTGCAGGCCTTTGTTGTAATGCGTGATGTACAGTAGCTCTATTGTTTATAATACATTATGTACAGATTTGTTCAATAAAACCATATGATTTCTTGCTTTCGATACTTTATTTGAACTAATTGTTATTGCCTCACTGCTATTATATATGTATTAAAGTAATTTTAAAGGCTATTGTTCACTTACATCTATTTTTATTACCACAAAAAAAAATGTATTATAATTATAGGGCACTATGAAATCCGTTTTATTTCCAAATTTTTATTTTTCTATACTCTGTTTTAATGCATAAATGCATTCATCAAAAAGCCTGTCTAATTAATTGATTTTAAGTATTTATTATTATTATTTTTTTTTTCAGAAATACTGCACATCTACATTGTTCTCCTAAGTAAATTCTGGTAAATAATAACATTTCTGGTAAACACTCTGTTTTTGATTATAATGTTATTATTAGTAGTTATTATTCTTACTCTATAATACTGAGCTGGACACCTGCTTCTTGCTTTTTTACTTTTGGATTTCATTTGGTTTAATCAATATAGTTTAATAAAATGTTCTGAAGTAAAATTGTTGATTTTGTGTGTGGGGAATTAATCGTTTAGACTAATCGATAAATTAGTCGATAGATTAATCGAAATAAAAACAACCAGCAACTATGAGCCATTAAAGCCCTCACAGCACGGGTTCCAGCAGCATGCTTTGGGACACCTGCGTTAGGATTGAGTGGCTTTAACACGACACATGCTGTGATGTTTCTACTGTAATCAGCCATCACGCTAATCTGTGACTACATACTGTACAAGCTGCATTCTCTGACCTGCATGCTTACGCAAAACACACTCTCACTCACACTCACCTGAGGAAGAGGAAGAGGAAGATCCTCCGCTAATGCGAAGCTCCAGTGAAGAAGAGCTCTCCAGCCACGCGCACGCAGAAGCCGAAGCTTTCAGAATAAGAGTCCGCAGCGTCGAAGCCTCTGCGCATCAGCGCTCCAAGCCGCAGAAGTCACGTGCTTCCAGTGCAACGCGGCTCCGTGACGTCACGACTGCTTCGAGGCGTGCCGGGGCTTCAGCGGCTCATAGTCTGATGAGCAAGAGCTGTCCGGTGTGTTCATGTATGTAAGCCTTTCCCTGTTTTTATTTATTTATTTACATTTCAGTGTAATGTTATATCCTCCTTTCCTTGTCTTCACCCCCTGGCTGATGTAAAATGTTGAATGTTTCTGTAGAAATAAATGAATAAAGCAACATGTCAGTGGTTTGCCGACGGGGCCAGTGACGGGGCCAGTGCTCTCTGTGAGCCCCAGAAGGTTTCTACCTCATCTCTGATCAGTTTCAGCAATGTGTGGACATTTGTGTAATGAAAAGTATAAGTAGTAGTCAATAGTCTCTTATTTCCCTGTTTAGACAAGCTCCCCATAAAACAAGCCCAGAGAATTGTTTTAAAAACACATAGCCTATTACACAGACACTTCACATTTAATGGCATTTTGTTATTTTAATGTATTATACTTTCAATAAAGCATTTGCAGTGGGTTTGTGAGATAGTATTTGTAAAGTGTCCATGCATATCATGGCCCGAGTTTTGCTGCGTTTGCACAGTTGTGTCCAGCAGGCGCCTCGAGCGCTTCATCAATCCTTTTGCGCTCGACTGGTTCAACTGAATCGGATCTTCGAACAGCTTCGCTCCTCCCACACTACGCACTCTGACAGCTTTCTCCCGTTCTCTATAAAGAAAACAAAGTCATTTATTTATTTGTTTATTAATAATAACGCCAGATATATCTACCCTGCTGGGTCCGTCACTTACAAATCGCAGTCCTTTACTGATTACACGCATGTTTGGTAATAATCAGACTACTTTTTGATTATAATTTATACTTGTATATTACTTTTGACCGAACTTTATCACTTATGAAAACTGCATGTCAAATTGCCAACAGAAAATACAGCACAAGGGTTCAATACACAATACACTCATACATGAGCTAACACAAATAACTAAAGGAAGTTTGCTGTAAAGCATTACCTCAGTCTGAGATCCGTTTAATAATAAAAATAAATATATATATATATATATAAAGTTATAGTGAAATAAGATGTTTATTATGATTATCTTTTAATACATTCTTACCAACTTCTCATTGGGTGGGCCACTCGCCACTGCCAACCTCACACGTGCCAACACTGCCAGCAAATGTTCGTTTTTGTGTGAAGTAGCATTTGTAGCAAAGTCACGTCATTTGTTGATTTGGCAGAGAGAGGAGTGTTGCATGTATATATTTAAGAAAAATGTCAAATATAATAAGTTACCCTTCTTCCCGGATGTCCATGAGCATGTGTTGAAGTCGTGGTCTGCACCCCAATCGGCCGTGTCCACGTTCCCACGCAGTCTCTCTTCTCCCCGGTGGATACGTGTGCATGCCTCCCGTCGAGAGACCGTCGCCGTGCGCTTATGCCCTTCTGCAGGCTGACTGCCCACCTGGCTGACCAGGCCTACACTTCCGTGTGCTGTGCTGTGCTGCAAATCCTTTTATTTGGTGCCCCTGGTCAAAAATGACTGGCCTTGAGTGCATGTAAATCAATCCCTCATTAAGCTGTATTATCACCAAATCATAGATTCAATCTTTTTGACAACTTGTTTTCTCTCAGTTAGCACAGGTTTTGTATTTGTTTTTGGAAGTGATTGATCGTAGGCTTAATTGAACTGAGCTTATGCACCTTAAGCATTATTTGTGGATAATTTTGTCAGCGTTCACTCAAAATCAGAGGTGCATAAGATCAGATCAATGAGGCCTGCGATCAATCACTTCCAGAAACAAATACAAAACCTGTGCTTACTGAAAGAACACATGCTGGCAAGAAGATCGAATCCAGTATTTGGTTATTATAGGCTATAACATTATTACAAATGTATAAGCAATTTTGTGTAGGCTGGTCATTTTTGACCAGGAACACCAAACGTTTAAAATGATGCGGGGGAAAATTTAATGTAAAAGAATATCCTCTTTTAGTCAAAATTATTACTATTTGAAAGTTACAAATCTGATGCCCAATCCATAAATTTTTTGTGTTAATGGCTTCGATGTGAATTAATAGTGTACATCTGAAATTAAAGCAAGCCAGTAAGTGCTCTGTGACTGTGTTTGAAGCTGGAGGGCCGGAGGAGGTACGGGCCCGTGTGGAAGGCCAGCTTCGGGCCCATCCTGACGGTCCATGTGGCCGAGCCGGATCGAGCAGGTGCTGAGACAGGAGGGCCAGCACCCCATGCGCTCGGACCTCTCGTCCTGGAAGGGCTACCGCAAGCTCCGCGGAGAAGTATACGGACTCCTGACAGCGTGGGTACAAACGCTCGCTCATATCTGCTCTTCTGGCAGTTTGCACGCATGCTGCTCGTCCTTTATGATCGCAATTAAAACACTGGTTTCAGGAGCAAAAAGTACTTTACATGTACTACATCTCACCGTCTACACATGGACTTAAAGGACACCAGAGAAGCAGATGCAGTAATTATTAAACTGTTAAGATATATATTTAAGAAAAATGTCAAATATAATAAGTTACCCTTCTTCCCAGACGTCCATGAGCATGTGTTGAAGTCGTGGTCTGCACCCCAATCGGCCGTGTCCACGTTCCCACGCAGTCTCTCTTCTCCCCGGTGGATACGTGTGCATGCCTCCCGTCGAGAGACCGTCGCCGTGCGCTTATGCCCTTCTGCAGGCTGACTGCCCACCTGGCTGACCAGGCCTACACTTCCGTGTGCTGTGCTGTGCTGCAAATCCTTTTATTTGGTGCTCCTGGTCAAAAATGACTGGCCTTGAGTGCATGTAAATCAATCCCTTAAGCTGTATTATCACCAAATCATAGATTCAATCTTTTTGACAACTTGTTTTCTCTCAGTTAGCACAGGTTTTGTATTTGTTTTTGGAAGTGATTGATCGTAGGCTTAATTGATCTGAGCTTATGCACCTTAAGCATTATTTGTGGATAATTTTGTCAGCGTTCACTCAAAATCAGAGGTGCATAAGATCAGATCAATGAGGCCTGCGATCAATCACTTCCAGAAACGAATACAAAACCTGTGCTTACTGAAAGAACACATGCTGGCAAGAAGATCGAATCCAGTATTTGGTTATTATAGGCTATAACATTATTA